TATTAAGAGTAATGAATTTCCTTTCACCTGGGGTTGAGCTTTGAAAAGAAGATACTAGGCTCAATGAATTGACACAGTGTTAGGTTTTAGAGCGGCTTCTGAATTCAGAAAAACAGTTCTGGAGTTTAGATACGCACCTTGCCCGGATAATACAATTAGGAAGCAATTTATCTGGGTAAGAAACGGTTCTATTATTAATTAAAATTTACAGATCATTACCTAAACAATTTTACACTGTTCTCCTTCCTCCAGTCTTTTTGGTAATTCTGGGGCGGTTTGGCTTACTGTTCAGACAAAAACCATCTTTATGGTCAACGGCCTAACACCCCTTGCATCGATGTTGCTCAAATGAGAAGTTTCGCATATAGTGCCATCTACTTTAGTAACAGCAAGGGTCAGGGGGCTTCGTCTTCGTTGGTCGAATTGAGCTGGAGGGAGGTGAAGTGCCCGTAGCAGTGGCACATCTTTTCTGATTGGGTGACCGTTGCACTACACGTACGCCTGATTGACTACATCCACCACTCTAAACCTTAGTCGTATCACGGTGCAGATTAGTATCTACCAACATCTCCATTATCCCAAGGTCAACTAAGCGACTTATGAGCGAAAACATGAAGGCTGTGAGTTCATGGATCTGATGCTACGGTAACGATCCTGCGGGGTTTCTATATTTACCAGTCGGACGCTAATCGGCGTTGTTAGTTTTCGAGACCATATTCATAGGGGATGCCTATGGGCAGTTTGGCTGTCAAATCGTCCCTAAATGTTTGATTTGATACGATTAGTCCTTGGCATGTCTTAGCTTTTCAGGATCAGGTCGCCGGACATTCCCGTATGTACTTGGTTCTGTAGTCGCGAGTTATTATGCTAAACTGCCGATTACCGACTGCAACTGTAATCGTGTTTGGTACCCATTGAGTCTTCACTGGAAGAAGAGATGGATTATGTGCCTAACTTTAAATGGACATAATCTACAACAACAGAATAAAACTCTACAAACAGACAATTTATTATTGCCGTTTACCAACCTTTGTTTACCTGTGTCGATGAGTGGCTTACGCTGTTGTGACAAGTTTATACTTTATAAAGGGAAAAGTCGCGGTTGACTAAGATCACCACTACAGACCAATTACGTTCCCGTTACTAAATATAATATCTCTAAGAATCAAGGACAGAGAAGAGTTATTCATACGAGGGAATATATTTATTCGCGATTTCGTGGCACCTAAATCGTGTCAGAGAAAAAGGGTGAAGTAACGGAGAGCAGTATAAGCAAAAATGTCAGCAGCACAAACAGAAAGTTTGCGCGTATAGAGTACTATTAAACAAAGAGTACAGCATAACAATCACTGGCGCAAATGGTTGTATAATGAATGTTCCTATTAAACCAATCGCGTTCTCTTTATAAAAGTGGAGTCACTAAAGTAGCCTCCCGCTAGAAAAGGTTTACATTCTCGATACATAGCAGTTTCGTTTGTCGGGACTGATTGGCAAACAAGGAGCGAAACCGGAAACCAGAAACGAACCAGGTTTCGGGATCATACGTATGTCAGACGCAGTTGGAACCGGAATATCGAATGAGTGCACTGGCAAGAGGGATACTATCCTTGACTCAGGCTCATATGGTCGAAAAGTGAAAAGAGCTGAAGGTCTCCCATGAGACAAGAGGTGTGAATATTGTGGATGGCTTGGCTTTGCTTTGGTAAGCATTGTTAACAGTCCATATACAAAATTGGTTAGCAGGGCGACCGATTTCATTGATATAGGTGGTTGTTTTGCGACATTCTCGAGGGCTATTGTCACTGAGGTGCTGTATTACATATCACCATTGCTAATAATAATGAGTTTGGCAGTCATGTAAGCGGGATGGGTCGAAATGGCCTGTTCATGCGGTGCATATTTATTGACGCGATCATGGATCGGAAATTTATATATATACCAGTGTGTATATATAAATGGTGTGAATGGTCCACCAGGGTATCAGGTTCCTGTGTGGTTTCACCACAGGCTTGAGCCAAACTGTTCATGTAGTGACGGTAAAACGTGTGCCGTCTCTTCGGTTCTCCTGAAAACCAATGTAACATTGCCCTTGACAATACAGGGTAAATTTATTTAATAATTATATAATTGCACTGGCAAGAGCGCAGGTCATCAGGCCAGCTGTCACCAAGTTTGTTTGAAGTCGACGATACCAGACTGGCTATAGTCTTAGGCGTAAGCTCAGGATAAAGAATAAAATCAAAGAAGAAGAAAAAGGTGTTGCAAATATGTAGCAAGGGTTATAATCCTGTATCGTATGCGTTACTTATTGAGAGGCTAGTCGCGAAAGCTTGCAGGTCGATGCACCTAATGAACGGATAGTGAGACAGTAGTCTCGTTTCTACCTCGTGGTTGAAGGCTTGAGAATGCAAACTCAGCCTAATCCAAGGGTGGCTTGGCCGGCCGGTCTGGATGTAAGACCTAAATATCATCCGTAGATGGTTCAGATGACACATGCTGTTTACTGGGACGTGAGAAATAGGTCGATGATGTATTTAGCGTGAGGTCAGAGGGAGACATAGGGATCACGCTAGTGGGTTGGACGAGTCTAGCATCGAATCTCGACTTATCTGGTGGGGCAAAATCGTCGACTTGTTCTGCCTTGAGACGATTAAAGCTGGCCATGTCGATCAACAATGAAAATCTTTTCGTGACGAGCGATCACGCGGAAAGATCCTCCGTAAGGCTGTTGCTGCGGTTTCCGTATCGAATCTACTCGTATGAAAACATGTAAACAGGTAAAAACTCTCGAGGAGGAGCAAACTGTCGATGCTATAATCGAGTTGACACTGGGGGCAGTGTTCGCTTGTGCGCAGATATTCGTTGATGTTATCTGGTATACATAAAATCGCTGCTGGGTGGTGCGAAAAATTACTCTGGCAAATGCATTGTCGTGCCGTACACAAGTTCAAAGTCATAACAGTGAATAGCTACCATTGCTGCTCTGTAATTGTCAACGATAACCATTGATTAGTAATGACAATTCTGCCGAAAGGAAAATACTGTGAGTGGGTCTGCTTGAACCCACGTCAAATCAAACTCACCGTTTGACGTAAATGGCGATCATCTTTCCGTTTGCCACCCAAAGATTGGAAATTGAGTCTCCTGTACGATCATCTGTAATCTCTGGAATGACGCTAACTTCTGTGCTATTGTCAATGAAATAGAGAACATTAACCATCACATCATTGATGTATATGTGACGGCTGAGTTCAGCAGGTACAGTTGCAGTTAACTCATGTGTGTGTGAGTGTTCCCCAGAAGGTTAGGAGTTGAATGAACTGCAACGTTTCTTACACTAACTAGGAAAGTTTCCGTAGGTCCTGTTGTATCACCACTATTTAGGATTATATGCTTCTCGCGGTGAAGAAACTAATCTTTTGCGAGATTGGCTCCGTCAGATAGACTTTGATCGTTCGCGACTATCCTCAAGATTCAAGAGGCTCACTGCTGTATTAGAGAGACCTTTAATTACATTTTGGGTAGCCTTAGGATTCTTTTCAATAGAAGCATCGGAGATGGGGTCATGATGGTCTCTGGAATTCGGTCTGCAGATGTACCCAGTTAGTCCACGGAATTATTTTGTAGTAGGAGGGGTATAGCTTGCATTTGCTGGCGGGGTTTAAACAGGAAGTGATGTCGGAAAAGACGTGTGTCGAAGGTTGATTAGAGAATTAGCTATCTCTTGCATAGTAATATTGCTGTTGCCGAACCATTCTGCGGTTCAATGTTGTGTAATTGTCGGTCTTACTTTTGCCGATAGTTTAGGTCTCCACACTCAAGAACTGCTTTTTAAAGGATCGTAAGGTTCCGAAAACATCACTGGTACACATACTAGGTGAAAATACCTGCTAAGTATCTTTAATACAGCGATAAATTACTCACGTGGTTCTGTCAAGCAGGTCCAGGCTTCAGTGTTGTCAGGCGAAAATAGTATGAGTTAAAAGTTTGGGGACGCAAGAGCCCTCATCTGAAGAAACGTAGGAGTAAGTTCCGACAAAACAATAATGGAATACAAATAAATATGGGATAAAAAAGTATGGAAAAACAAAAATCATGTTATGTAAAAATGTAATAATAGACATAACGTTATGGCAAAGAACAGTATCTTGTTGAATGTACCAGATTACTACATGCTCACCAATGAGGATATCCCTAATGCTCAGAGTGGGACAACGCTTTTGTTCGTAACAACTTTCGACTTCAGATAACCTAGGCCAAGTCAAGCCATAACTTATGAATGATGTGGACCATAGCTGGTCGGGATGTTGAGGAGTGAGTGAATGAATCAAACTAGCTGGACATAGTGAGATGCTTTGCACGACATACCCCCCAATGGTCTGGTAACGATACGTGACTCAGATCCCTCTGCCGGATCTTTCCACCAGAACTACTGAGGTTAGAATCAATGTTAAGGACTAACGAAACTAGCTATTTTTTGAGATTTAGTTGCCGCTATACATCCTTAAAGCCCCTGAGAATCCCCTACAATGCCTTCTCAAGCTCAGTCCCAGCAGAAATTTTGATGGATATACCTAGAAACGTGAGGTGAAACAAGGCAGAATAACCCTTAAGCACACTTTCTGTCCTTTACGAGCAATCAAACTCTGGAATTCCCCACCTGCCGAGGTTATCCAAGCGACTTCCCTGGAGTTCTTCAACAAGAAACTTGACATATTCTTAAGGCACCAGGATCTTATCTCATTATAATTTACTAATATTTCTCCTCAAGTTGTTGAATATACCCAGGTTCTTACGTGTAGGCTCCAGCTATCTGTTGCTACGGAATGCGAAAGCCCATTAAACTAAAGCTCCACTTATTCCAACCACAAGCATTCAGACAATTTAGGATTTTAATGTTTAAGAGTAAGCTCAACATTATTTAATGATAAGTTGCATAAATCTCCTTATTTTGGACAAACCATCTCTACATCTTTAAATAATTGAATACAGAATTTGTTAAACGCTTTCAGCTATTTAGGCAATATTATGTCCTTGACAGAGTGCATTAATTGATGTTGATTATCGCATAGTCATGATCATCTTAATTTCCTTGTTTATAAACTTAGTAATTTTGGCAAACTCTGCCAACAGCATTTTTCCTGACATTACACTGCATGAGTGTGCTCTAACGAAAGGATGCTTGAGGCCTGCTATGTGTACGGAGTCATCGTGTGCATTTCTTGTCACATGGAAATTAGTGTCCGTGCAGTCTGAAAATTATGTGGAGTTCGAACTTAAAGGCAATATTCAGAAGGCCACAGGCTTTATATCACTGGCTTTCTCGAAAGACCAAAGAGTAGTAAGTTATCTTGTTGGAGCTACCGAAAATGATATTTTTGGCATATTTGTTATTTTTTATGATATGATTTAACCAGTGAGCATTTCAGAACAAAGTATACCACTGAGACACTTGTTAGCTATTTTACTGGTGGCTCAAGTAATGTTAAAGTTCACTAAACGCCCCACGTTGTTTGCCCACGATCTCCAGTCATCCTGAATGACAAATCGATTTAAGTCCTCCTAGTCTTCACGAAGTTGAGAAAGCTATAGGAAATCTGAAGCAAGGGAGAGCAGCAAGACCTGATAGATTGGCCCCTGAGATCCAGTTTTAGCAGCTGGATTGTCTGAGATCTTATATAAAATCTCGGACCTGGGCATAATCCCATCTGACTGATCTCAGCCGCTAATTGTCCCAATTTACAAGAAAGGACAAAAAGTCTTCTTGTGATAATCGCAGGGGCATCAGTCTAACTAATATAGTTTCTAAATTGTTAGCCTCGATCATACTTAGACTCCTAACTAGAGCTCGTGAAGAGCAGATTACAGAAAACCAGGCTGGCTGCAGACTTGTACGGGTTGTATAGACCACATTTTTACACTAAGACAGGTCCTGAAACACAGACACACATATAGATGTCCGACAAGAGTTGTCTTCCTCGACCTAAAGGCAGCATTTGAGTCTGTTGAACGTGAGGTTCTGTGTCAGTGTCTGTCATTAAAAGTTGTACCAGAGAAGTACATTAACCTCATACAGGCTCTCTACTCAAACACTACAGGTCGAGTGAGAGCTTATGGCGAACTGTCATCAGACTTCTCTACTTCCAGTGGTGTCTGTTAAGGATGTCCATCTTCCCCATTCTTGTTTAATTTTGTCATGGACATGCTCCTAGATATAACATTATGTTCGTCTGAATTTTCAGGAGTAGACCTACCAGGTAGCTCGCTTATTGACTTAAAATATGTCGATATCATAGTTCTATTTGGTGAAGATGCTGACTAAATTCAGTCTTCTGATCACCTTGAGCAACAATGCAAGCATGTTCGGGATGCGGTTTTCCCCCTGGAAATGCAAAATGTTGCTTCAAGATTGGGTTGCATCGGCACCTGAACTAATGATAGGGAATGAAGTAGTCGAACGTGTAGATCGCTTCACTTATCTGGAGAATATGATTAGTGCTGATGTCCTGGTGACTGACGAAATCTCAGCTCCGATACAGAAGGCTCGACTGGCTGTTACCAACGTACGGCACTTATGGCACAGGCGAGATGTCCGCTTGCTGACCAAAGGACAAGTGTACTGCGCAGTAGTTCGCTCCGTCCTATTATATGGCTGTGAAACATGCCCAGTCAGAGTTGAAGCTATTAGTAGGTTACTGATTTTCGATCGTCGGTGTCTTCGAATCATTGCTCGTGTATCGTGAGACAACCGAGTAATCAGTGCTTTCGTTAGGAAACGAGTATTAGGTAGGGACGGCAGATCAACAGATGAAATAGTGAAGCTTCATCAGTTGAGGTGGCTGGGACATGTGTTACGTGTGCCTAACCAGCGTCTGCCTCGTCGAGCATTATTTTGCGGTGTAGAAGTAGGTTGGACGAATGCTAGTGGCGGCTATACCAAAAAATTGCAGAAATGCATGAAGTCACTGACAAGTAGACTGTTTCATGTTCGTAGATATCGACTACCTGGTTGGGGTCCGCGAGATGATAACAATCAGTGGTTAGAGACCCTGAGTTACATCGCTCAAAACCATTTGCAATGGCGCCGATGCACTCATTCTTTGTGTTCTCTCAAATTCTAAGCTTCTGGATTCATCAACCCCTCTACCTTTGTGTTTCTAAACTTATCTCACTGAATTATACTTCTTGAATACTATCTTCGAACCCTAATCTTCTCCATTAACAGTAGTACTCTTACAATCTCTACCACTATGGGATTCGAATTGAAGTCTCTGTGCTAATGTGATATGGCAACCTGAACTGATGTACTTACGTACGAAGTTCTACGTTGCAATTGACTGACTGATTGAAATAACATTTCGGTAGTAATTTGTCGGAATTTACTTTGTTTTCATTCGTATCCTAAAACCTATTACTTTATTACCCTTGCGTTCACTGATAGGTTAATGGGTCAGGTTAACTACGAGCTCGTCTTTTACGAGCGAATGTCGTTTTTCGATGCACACAATCTACTTCAATACCACTGATACTGCCTCAAATTGTTCTTGGTTTTTTTATAGTGTGACAAGTTGAACTGTGTGTGTTAGGTTCTACTTTGACTGACTGATTCCTTTCACTATTTATACTGTAATGGAATGAAGTATACTTGTTACGCTGTTATAAGTATCACTTGGTGTAAGCGTTTCATTATCACTGTGTAAAAACCCATCAAATCTGAGGAAAACTAATCACCAGAATACCGAAAGTTTTAAATTCAAATAGGAGTATTATATAATTTTGATATTGTTATTCAAAAGTTATGATTGGGTTAAATACAATTTTTTCGATGGGCATGCCGAATATATATCCTTATTTTGATTTCCCCAGTATTCTATTTTCTCTAGCATATTCATCAGACCAGTAAAAATTTAGTTAGTTGATCTTCTACTCAAATTCCATTTCTAATTTGAAATCCGAATAGTCTCCGAAATTGTATGTAATAAATGTAACTCAAAAATAAGCACATAAACATTCCTTTAATTTCTTAGTTCGTTTTCGAAAGCAATAACTTAAGCTCTACTATATATATACACAGCAAGAGATTCAATAGGGTTAATCTTATCAATAATGACAATAAAAATCGATTTCATTTTTAATTAAGTACTTTGCTCTTATTCTCTTTTATCTATGTTAAAACTATTCGATATGTTTGGTGTACGCATATAGCATTAATTTTTAAAAATATTCTTTGATTTATTATCAAGCAGTATTTTAATTAATATTCTTTTCATTTTATTAAACGAATTTTATTTAGTTTGGTATATTTACAAAATACCTATTAATTGATTTAACGAAAAATTCCATTTCTATTCATCTCAGTGGGTAGCATTTGTTGTTCCATTTGTTTGCCTGTTTTTAAATAGATTGATAAATTTAAATCAAGCTAATGAATGCATTTTTATATTATACCAAAAATGTATCAAGTGAAATTATAAAAATGCTTTGGTATTGCACACTCTTAAAGTGATTTTCACTTGGCTACTTGTCATTTTTCTCTGTTATACTAAAAGTTGTACCGATTATGGTACAATAGTTATCCTAAATCTAAAACTATTACAACAGTCAAGCCTTTTACACTTATTAACTGATCTTCACTGTTTTTTAATTGTTTTTCGTTTCTTTTGACACATTGTTTATATGATTCTACACTCTTTCTACAATTAAGGTATGAGGGGTGGCATGATAATCGAAACCATCTAAATAGCAATATACAAGACGATTAATTTGAAGATAATGAAAATTACACGTAGACTTAGTTCACACTATTTAGACTAAAGATCACACTGCAACTTGATCTGTAGAATCTGGTCAGCACTAGAAATTTAACAATTATAGCAGTCCATATCTCATTCTAAGAAGGAGTGAGTCATTTAGTGCTAACGCTTCTGATTACGAAACCGTGTGACGAGGGTTTGAATCCTCCGATGAACATCGGTTCCACCAATATTCCAGAAACACCTTGCTCTCAAGTGGCATTTAGCACCAAATTCAAGTGCAGAACTTGTGGACTGTCTGCAAACATTTAACATCTCAATGTGATATATACTGTGTCGAACCACTTGAGTTAGTAGCCCAACTGCAATCTTAACGATAAAACTCGGTCAGCAATAAGAACTACAGAAACACGAAATCGGTTGCTACCCAATAATCAGTTATTCTACTTTGTCGAATACTTTATTACTAAGTCTGTTTCGGAAAATAATGGGCTTATTATTCATTCTCAATCCAGGAGATTGGATCGATGGACGGAACAATATGGAGCAGTTCATCTAGCCTTCAACCACACTTTGTTTTCCCACGATCTCTAGTAAACCGGAATGGCAAGTTGATATAAGTCCTCCGACTCTGAATAACGTTGAAAAGGCTATAGGTAATCTAAGGCGAGAGATAGCAACACTTGACTGATTAACCTCTGAGATTTTTAAGGATGGTTGTCCAGTTTTAGCAGTTAGATTCACTGAGATCTTAGGTAGAGTTAGGGAACTGAGAGTAATATTATCTGACTGAACTCTATCCGTGGTTGTCCCAATTTATAAGAAAGGACAAAAGTTCTCGTGAATATCACAGAGAAATCAGTTAAACTATCATAGTGTCTGAATTGTTAGCCTCGATAATACTTAGACGCCTAACTAGAGCTCGTGAAGAGCAGACTCAAGAAAAGCAGACTGGTTTCAGACCTGAACATGGCTGTGCTAATGTGGTATGGCAACTTGAAATGATGTACGCACGAAGTTTGGCGTTGTAGCTGACTGACTATTTACTTTCCAAATCAAATTGTAATTATGATATGGTAGGGAATTTATTGGTTAGCTTGTACGAAAGTATTAAAAGGATCAATTTACTTAGTCGGTGAGACAATGTATTGACATACATTTATCTGTAATTTAGTTAAGTCTAAATCCTTATTGCCACTTTTCCTATCGTTATTGTTGCTGTTTGTTAAGACTGCCTGTTAAAGTGAGGTAAAGCATTCTCCTAAGTTGCCGAAATATATGTCAATCCGTCAATTTAATTGACTGATCACATTTCTCTTGATAATCAAGACTTCCAAAATTCGGTAATGGTGAAAAATAGTTGCCACACTTATTTCGTTTGAGTGGTTTTATGGAGTTTAGTTTAACTTTTCGTCCATTTTCATACTAATATGAGATGACTCTGCAGCATTGTAAACTCATAATTCCACTAAAGATTGAACAGAGGACCTTCGGGCCTCATAGCAAACGCTTACCTTGCGAATCACCAAGTTACCATTTAATCGCTCACGTTTCGAGCTTCAGTAGATCTGTGGTATAGCTCAACAAT